CTTCAGTTTAGGCGGCACAATTTTTCATAATATTATCAATGATGCTTTCAACTCACTGCGTCCTTTAGCTATTTAAATTTGTTTCAATGTTAGAATGGGTCGGATGCTCATCTACACTACAAGACTTGAACTTGAGTTAGTTAGCTTAACTGGAATCTTGAATTTTGAATCTTCAACAATAAGAATACTGGATGATACACGAACGATTTCACATACTTATTTCAGCATTGCGTGACAGTACCCCTAATCTCCAGTTCTCAATGAAACTTCTCATGACGCACCAGCCATCAACACAGAATACAGTATAGGATAGAGCGCAACAATATAGCTCACTGAGTTAGTAAGTAACGCGTAAATGACGACGGTGAGTATAGCGTTGGAACGGGACAGCGGCAGCCCTGGACGGTGGAAGACAGGCGGCGTGAGACGCCGCTCGGAAGAAGTACATGAGGAGCTTCTTACCGAGAGATGCATACCATCGACCACCCTGTAAAAGGATGAATCAGCTATGGTTGTGTGAACTATACAGAAAATGCTAAGCTTAGATAACAGCGCGAAGAGCGCTGATCTTTCACCTCCACCCTTTCCTTTAGGTCCCGGACTTCATAAGAAGAAGGGAGCGAAATAATGTAAGGAAGCTTACCACTGGATTGGCTAAATGTTTAGAGATATGGGTCGAGTTGCGAGAAGTTCACTCGTCGATGGATGACGACCAATTAATACCGTATTCCAAAATGGTACTTTTCTAAGTTGGCGTGCGTGGTTGAGAATAAACTGGCCTCGCAACATCGCGAGATTGCATCATGCGACGATAATCCTCAAAGAATTCTGCAGAGTCCGGATCAACGTCTGTGCTGGTTTATGTAGAATGACGATCTCTTTTTCATGACCCTGTACTTAACCAACTTTTGTGAGCTCCACTCCGGCCGCGTCAGCGGCTTCGTATAGCCGTCGGTAATGCTCACGATAGGATGTGATGATACAAAGGGCTTTAGGGGAAATGCCTTTGTCTAGCAAGCGATCGACAAGGTTCCAGCATGCACGTGCTTCATCTTCGTGTATAGCAATTTACTCGGTGCCCTAGTGGCGGTAGAAGGAACGTCGATGAAGATAAACGGTATGTTGGCACGAAGGAAGGACATGACAGAAAGCAGCATTTGTCGATTTTGGGCCTCTCTTCCGCTGATCAGCGCTCCGTTGTAGGCGATTCGATTAGGAAGTTCAGGAGGTTGTGTGCTCTCTAAATTTGGTAACCAGTGGGGCCATAGGGACTGCTCAGGCG